ATTATACACAAACCTCCAAAACAACTGAAACATTTCCATTCCTCTAAGAAATATTACCACTTGTCACCAAGACCATTCTTCAAATGATGTACAAGCTATAAATATAGCACTGTAGATAGATTTATGTTTATAGGAGTCTGTCCTCAAAGTGAAGCCATAAGCAGGATTTTCTTTCCTCTAAATTTGTTTAAATATAAAACTTAATGAATACTACATTCTTTGTTGATAATGCTAAAATTTAATATGAAAAGTACTAACTTTAACTATTTAAAGATAATAATTTATAATTTAATTTTTTTCTAAAAAAAAAGAGTGCTAACTTTAGCATGCAGGGCCTAAAGCAGCTTGCATCATGACAAGATTCAAAAGTGCATGCATGAAGCAATAGCATAGTTATTATGAGGATTCTTAGCAGCTGAATTGAATATTGTAAAACTACTAATATGCTTTAAATAAAATGTACATTAACTTGCCTTGCTTAAAAGCTGGCATGAATGACAATTACTCCCTAGATCACAACTACTGAAATTACACAGCAATCAAATCTCCTAGGAAAAGATATGGAGATCCTTAAATGACTAAGTTCTTATTATTAGTAGGAATTTGGCTTCATGCTACAAATTGCCTCTATGCTTGGCAAATGTGGCAGATTTTGAAAGCACAAGATATTAGAACAACTTAGCTCTCACTGAACGCCTGAAAATATGGAATCCATTATCCCCCTTTGTTCCCCAGAAATTCACCAGGTAAATTTGAAAATCATTCAGAGATTTTCTGCAGCCATTAGTAAAAATGATCCTAATGAAAATATTTCTCAATAAAATCAACAAAAATCTTCAAAAATCTCCCCATGACTTCCATAGTACATCTTGAGATGTTTTATTTTGGGGTGAGCTCTGGAGCACTGTGATAGCCCAAAGAACCCTTTCTGGTCACTCTCACCAGTGTGTGCTTGGGGGAGAGGAGAGAGCAAGTTTTCTACCTGAAGATGCCCTAGAGGGTCTACAAAGCACTAGGGAAGCCCAGTAAGAAAAACCCATTTGCATCTAGGACTTGAACTTGCATCTTGAACTTTGGACACTGGAGTTCAAGAACTTGAATATATTAGGCTCATCCTAGGCTATCAATGAGAAGAGCTTCTTTCTCACCCCTTCTCCCAATGCTTCTAGACCATATTTTAATTAGAATCTCACCACGTCAGGCCTAGCAGAGAACTTGCTTATAGTAAATGCACAACCAAGGAAGAAAGGGGAGAAAAGAAAGGAAATGGTAAGTTCCAGGATTTCATAGGATACTAAATGAATGATTTCCTTTTGTCTTATGTAAAAGTCTTGCCCCCCAAAATAGCCCACTTTTACTGTTTTTTCTCATGCCCAAATTAGAAGTGTTTTTCTTATGCATGGTCATAGGACTGCTCAGAGGGATAGTGGGAAGATGAGATGCCATTCAAATATAGAGGCTAAATAAGAGAACAACTGTTTTGGTCTTATCCATCCTCTGCTGGAAGGCTATCCTAAATAGGAGTATCACACAAAAGGCAAAGTTTATGTTTTCTCCCTAAATGAAGTGAGACACACCCAATTTTTCCAATATGAATCTCTTTGTAGAAAGGGAGAAAAAGGATATTTAAGACTTGACAGATTTAGCCTTTATTTTCTCTCCAGAGATTAATGATAGCAGCTAAGAAAGAAACCGTGCATCTAGAGGCATAGGTATATGCAATTGCTTTCACAACTTAAACAAGTATCTGTGGGAAAAAAAAAATTGTCAAGACATTGTCAAAAACAATTAACCTTCAGAAATTTGCCATGAAAATCTTGAGATGATATGAGACAACTATTAAAGATACTTGAAATGACAACTTGCTGATATAAGGGTTCTATGGTAAACGTGGGCTATTCTTAGAATTTAAGTGGTGCTTTGTGACTATGTTTAATTAACTAACATCTCACCTTCCCAGCAACATAATGGAGTTCTAAATAATATCCTGGTATCTCTTTTCTCTTTTGAATAAGTCTAAATCCCAATCTTTCAATATTGAATAATACTGCAATATAATATTTTATTACCACAGTTTAGTTTACCATTGTTTAGTGAAACATACATATGTTTTTGGTTCATTAAATAAAAACTACAGGACTGGGAATGTGGTTTAGTGGTAGAGTGCTTGCCTAGCATGCATGAAGTCCTGAGTTCAATTCCTCAGTACCATATAAACAGAAAAGGCCAGAAGAGGCACGGTGACTCAAGTGGTAGAATGTTAGCCCTGAGCAAAGGAAACTCAGGGACAGTGCCCAGGCCCTGAGTTCAAGCCCCAGAACGAAAAAACAAAAACAAAACAAAACAAAAACCTACAAGTGATTCTTTCACTACTGACTTCCTTTCAGGTGATTGCTCATAATTTGATGAAGCTTCCATTCTTAGAGCTCAGGTAATTCAGTGGGAATGTCAGGAAACTTCATCTCCTTGGAAACAACACATATTATTCATGCATCAGGTTTTCTTGCATGACTACTGTGTACAAGGCATTCTGCTATGTGTGCAAAGACTGTGAACTGCAGGGTTTTGATTAAGTGCTTGCAAATATTCAAAGTGATATTTATCTGCGTGCTGGAAGGACAGTTTCCAACTATAAACTACCCATATTGTGTTTTACTTGCCAGTCTTTGAAAAATTAAGTGTCTTTTCTTTAAAGAAAAAAAGAAAAGAAAGAGGCATTTTTGACCTTTAGCCACCTCATCTAAAATCTCTGCTGGTGGTCCTGTGACTCCTGGAGCTGTAGTCAGGAAGGTACAGCCTAGCATTCCTAAAGGCCACCCATTCCCTCTCCCTATCCAAATAAGTCTCATTCCTAAATCCACCAGATAGCAGCCTGGCTCTGCCCAGAATGCTGCTTGCTGTGGTAAACTGTGAAAACCCCAGGAAAGGAATGCCAGATCCACTGAGACTGGAGCTGAAGCCAACCTGGGAACTCATCCTGGGAAACAAAAAGACATGCTTGTTCAGGGCGCTGAAGCCAATTAGCACAAAACTAGGAGAGATTCTGCACATTATCTAGCTCAGTGTCCTTCTCCAAATGATTAAAAAAAAAAAAAGATTCAGGGAGCTAGATTTGCGCGCAGAGATCACTGGTAACCAGGAGCTAAGTCAAAACATAGCTTTATATCAGTCACTGGATCAGACCCACTGCTCCACCCAACACCTAGCATTAGGTCCAAACAGGGTTGGGCGAGAGAAGTACCGGTACTAATTACTGGCACAACTCTAGCAGTCCTACTCACTAGGCATAACAATTGCCATGATATGTCTGAGAACTGGAGCTGGGTACTGGATCCTGGGCTGCATAATTCTGATGATAGGAACGACCGAAATAAGAAATCACTAAGATTCCATCCATCAACACAGTCTCGATAGCATTTGTCCTGTGCACTCCCAGTACAAAACAATGGCGAGGTCATGGTTTGACTGTCCAAGGAAGGACTTCTTTCTCCTGGGAAAGGAATCTACCCTTCTCACTGCCGCAGTCGGAGCATCTGGCACCGACCGTGAGAGGCGCTCGTGCGAGACTTCTGGGCTTGCCTTTGTGCGGAGACTGCCTGTGGCGACCTTGTTAAGTCTGGCCCCGGCTTCCTGCTCTTTAATCCCCCATATCCCTCGTGGGGGGGAGGAGGGAGGGGAGGGCTCCAGAGGTTCAAGCCCAGGGTTGTGGGAAGCTCTTAGAGGCACCTCCACGAGGCCACTCCCAGCGCTCCACCACGGGCCACCCGCCCCCCTCCGCCCCCCTGACAACAAAACCTGCTTGTCCGCACTTGTGCGCTCGCTCCTCGCTAGTTTCGCCGGGATTTGGCTGGATGTGGCTGGGTCCAACACCAGCCTAGCTCCCTGCGTGGAGGAGCCTTGGCCCTTCCAGCCTGATGGCTTCTGCTCCTCCAGAAGTCATCCTCGGTGCACACACAGAACTCCCTGGCCATCAGGCCCCGCGGGGTGCTGGGGTCCCAGAGCCTGATTCCAGATGGTGCCCCGCCCCCACTGCCCCGACCACTCACTCAGCCTTTCCACCCGCCAGTATTTGACCCTCTCCACTGCCGTGCGCCAGGTGGGTGGGCGTATGGGAAGGCAATAACCTGGCCTTGAACCGCAGACCTTTGAAATTTACCCACCACGGAGCCAATAATTCAAGTAGACGGGAAGGTCAAAGGCGACTCGTGAGTGCTGCCCGCAGCCCTGCAGGCAGGCAGGAGGAGGGTGAGGCAATAGATTGGCGTGGTCGGGGGAGCAGCGGGATCACCCGAGGGAAACGACGTGATCACAGGGAGGGCAAAGTGGAGGGCTCGGCCGCAGGTGGGCACCGCAGGCGCGAGGGCGGCGCGAGGACCAGGAGGAGGAGGAGGAGGAGAGGAGGAGGAGAGGAGGCGGCGGCGGCCCAGGCTGCCCCGCCTCTGCGCCGCCCGCGCCTCCAGCGCATTCCTGGCGGTAGGCGTCACGGGCGCCGCCGGCCGCCGTGCACTCCGGGCTCCCCAGGCGCGCACTCCGCACGCAACCTTGTGGCTGCGAGAATCTTCTCCAACCACCGCCACCCGTGCTCCCCGCCCCCTGCCCAATCGCGGGTCGAACCACGAGATCCGATCGCCACGACTAGGAGGATCCCGCGGGGGCGCAGGCGCTACCCCAAGCATCCTTGCTACCCAGGCCGCTAGGACACGGCCCCAAGGGCGGACTTGCACCAGGCCACTCGGCCGTGCGCAGCTCCAGGCGGCGCCCGGTCACCCTCTTGGCACACAGTGCCTTTCTGGTCCCACTGCCAACTCCCCAAATCCTCACTGTCGTTCCCGTCCGCGCTCAGAAAGGGTAACATGTTCACCGAGCGTGGACCGTGGGAACCCTTCGGAGGGGCAAAGTTAGCGGGGGCGCGCAGAGCTGTGGAGCTCTGGGTCCTGCGCGCCCCGCAGAGGCTGGGCGCCCCCCCTCCCCCCAGCACCACGCGGTCCCAAGACTCTTACCCGAAGTGTCCCATAGGCTCAACTCTATTCTTTGTGTGTCGATTTCAAAACTGGCCGTGTAATTCTCAAACACTGTAGGGACGTAATTCTGGACAAACAAAACGGACAGGCAAGAAGATTATTTCAAAATACACGAAACCCATCCAACATGCTCGGGGGGGGGGGGGAATCGCCTACCCTGATCTCCAACTATGAAAAAAAGAAGAAGAAGAAAATCTACATGCTAAACACTCGGAGATCCGGGTCGCCCCACCGGCTTCTCGCAGATATGTTGACCCAAATCTCCCCATCCCACGCTTTGCACCCAGAAATGAACAAGTTTCGGGAGCGAACAACCCTAGGTGCTGCGCGGTGCGTCCCGGCCCCTGACCGCTGCCAGCACACTTCCCTTTTTCAGCAGAGGGACCCAGGGGAAGTAGTTGGGGTAAGAATGACCCGTTTTGCAAAGATCTAACTAGTCACCTGGAGATAGGGGATCCGGCGGGTCGCCCCCCTCTCAAACCCAAGCCGGGCGGGACGCACTCACCTCGGGGAAGCAATCCTTGGCGAAGACGTGGAGCAGCGCTGTTTTCCCACACTGGCTGTCTCCCACCACCACTATCTTGCATTTCACGTTCTGATTAGGATCCATGATAGATTTACTGGATAGTTTCTGGCTGGCTCTTCTCTCCTTCATTGATGTTGCCTTATTTTCTCTTGGAAAAGGAATTTTCTCGTAAGAAGAAAATATATTTTATATATTTATCTTTCTCTATATATATTTTTTAAAAAACGCAGATACAAAAATAAATCGTAAGGCTGTTGGGAGAGCCCCCTGTAGCACAGCGTGGATGAGGGGGAGAACGAGACTCGTTACTCCCCTCCAACAAGTTTTATGCCCGACTCCACGCTGCGCCTTCCAAGTCCAATTCCGATCCGACTGCTTTGTTTCACGCTCTCTGGGAGGCTTTATACGCCCGGCCTTCCAATCCTCTTCTTTCTCAATGAGAGAAGGAAACCGATCCGCCTCCTCCCCTTTTATGGAGCCTGGGAGCCGGCGCGGTCGCCGAGATCGCAGAAAATGTAAGCAGCGCGCCCTCTAGGGTACCGTGCGGGAGGGATTTCAGACCAAGGCTCTGGACAACTTGTAGATCCCAAATGCCATTTGCTGAAGGATAGAATTGTACACCGGAAGGAGAGGAAACACTGATGTCTGTGCACATTGATTTTTACGGAATTCAGTGAAAAATGTTTTTAGAGAGGCTCACTCTCCCTATTTCAGAAGGTTTGAGGATTTCCTACGCAAGCCAAATGCTAAGGAAGGCCAGTCTTGATGGAAAATGCTAAGCAAGAGATCAAGGTCCTGAGTTCAATCCCCACTATTAGCAATAAATAAACGAATAAGCAAGCAAATAATAAAGCGTACGAAGAAAATCTTTGCATCAAAAGGGGAAAATGGGTCACGCAGATGTACAGGTGGTAAAATAATAGCTAATCCAGGTTGTTTCTGGCTGGTTTGTCATTATAGTAAGTACACTGGCTTTAGAAACGTGAGCTTTCAGTCATTCAAGAGGAGGCAGAAAAGTTTCGAGAGGAGGATAAACGGTGGGAAAGGAGAAAAGTATCAAGTGGAAGATGATCATAAGTGAGTAACAAAGGCCACTAGAAACTCAGTCTTCCTACCCTAAGGACCCAAACATAGCTCAGCTAGGGTGCTAGCTGCAACCCTCCCTTTCCCCACCACCCTCTTGCAGGCTGGGAGGAAGTGATTGTGACACTGCCCTTTCATTCCTTTATCTATGGCTTGTGCCATTCTGTAATCAAAACATTCTCTGCCGGTCTCAGAAGGCACAAACTTCTTCCAGCCCCTCTTTAATCCTTCCTTTGCATCTGAACTTGTAGCTTTTCAACTCTTCCTCACAGCAGGTCTTTAAAAAGATGACAACAGCCCACACATTTGTTCTAGGAGAACATTGTCTTCATACCCAAAAGGCTAAGAAGGTTTTAGTTACTTCCTTATAGTAAGGACATTGGCCCAAACTAACTTGTAGATTCCCTTTATATGGAAACTTAGAAGCTTGTAAAAAGTAAGATGAGATGCAAAGGAAGTTTCTTATAGGGAGTGAAAAGGGATCTTCTCCAGTTCCTTCTAGAGCTAAAAACACTGGAGCTTTCCCCAAAGAGAGCTCTGACCCAGACCAACGTACAAGTTTATACAGGGAAAGGGCTTACCATGGGGAAGAGCATGGCTAGCTTTGCCGTGGCTCTTACAGAGTATTATTTGTCAACATTTGCTCCAAAGAGCCTTTTTATACCTAAGCTATCCTGGCCAGTTAGTGAGGGAGACATGTGCTCTTATCTCCCCTTCAAGACTTACCAATTTGATGATATATTACAGATGTTAAAAAAAAATCTCTATAGAGGGGCTGGGAAGTTGGCTCAGTGGTAGAGCACTTGCCTCGCATGCATGAGGCCCTGGGTTCAATTCCTCAGCACCACATAAGCAGAAAAAGCCAGAAGCTTACTATAGCTCAACTAAGAGCTGAGGGACAGTGCCCAGGACCAGGGAAAAGTAGTATACTTAACATGGTATAGCCTAGCATTTCTAATCCTATTTAAGCATGGAAGATTTTTATCAAATGGTTTGCTTGATTGTTTGAAAGGCTATGGGAATGATAATTGGGCCAGGAAATCAAGAAGAGGTATATTTCAGTCCCAAGCTTCATATAGTCTTTTAAATAACATTGGATGGATTATTTAACCTCTGAAAAGCCTCAGTTTCCTCATATTTAAAATAGGAATAATAATAGCTTTTATCAGAAACTGCAAATGAACTATTTACAGAACAGTTTCTGGCAAAATAAACAGCTGTAACCTATTTTATATTTCACAGTAACTCAGATTTACTCTTCCAAGAACTACTCCCCAAACCCCTATTAGTTAATCTACTAATAGATAGGTCTATCCTGGCTTTTCTCATATCCTTAATTTATAAAGTTACTCCATTCCAGACATATGACTTGAACTTCCATATCCCTCAACTGATTGAGCTTACTTGTTAAATCAGTTTAACTAGCATTATTATTTTGAATTGACTGACCAATGAATATGATTAACATATCAGTTTAGCTGCTATCTTTTTGAGGGCAAAATTGGGCATTATCAATGATTATGGTAGAACCACAGGTGTAAAAAGAGTCTGTCCCAGGCAAAACAACTGGTATGATTACTTTACCAGTGAATAATCTGGAATCCTACTGTATGTCTATTTTGGAAATCAGGTCACCTGAATATCCAGGAATCTACCAATTGCTGAATGAAATTGGAGGGACATAAAATACAGTAGAAATGACCCTAAAGTCACCAGCTTCGAATCTTCCTAACATAGGAATTATTTCTTTTTCATTTCTTTAAATTTTTAGTCCTCAGTGTGTGGTATATTTTTCATATATTTTAACTTGAATATATTATCATCATTGTTTATAAAATACCTGTTATAATGTCAGACACTGTTCTAGGAACTGCAGATAGAGCAGTAATCAATGTCAGTCTTGTTTTCTGCTCTCACAGGGGAAACATTCCAGACAAAGGAGAGGGAAGCAATACACAATGAAGAAAGTGCATAAATAAGAACAAGTGGGCTAAACCCTGTGAATTAACAGAATGGCATGCTGGAGCATAATTTATGGGGAAATTGGACCTCAGTCCCTGGCAATGCCTCTATATAGGGAATGAGTCTTTAACAATGAAGACAAACCAGCCAATAGGATGTCCAGGGAATGGAGAACAGGAAGGTGATATGGAAGGAAGAGCTGGTAGGTTTGAGGAACCCAGGGAAGGCCAGAATGACCGAGGCCCACTGAAAGAAGGGAGCAAAAGAATATGAGTTGATTAACTGGTCTTGGAATCTAGATTTTCATGTAAGGACAATGTGAAGTTAATCACAGGAGGGCTAGCAAAAGGCTAGCAGGTATGCTATGGGAATGAATGAAATGGTTGGCTTGAATACCTAGCTGTCACTAGTTGCACAATCTTGTTGAAACTACCCATCTTCATTGAGAATATGAGATCGAAATATAGATGAGGTCTTGTGGGCACCAAAATTTTAGACAGCAGTGAAAGATTTTCTAAGGACACATTCATTGGAAGGCATAAAGCCCCATCTGGGGGAATCATATATTAACTGATGGTCTTCCTTGTATTTCTTTCTGTTGATCATCCTTTGTCTTCCCATTAGTACTCTTCTTTTCTGATTATTCCTTAAACAAAAGAAGAGAAATCATTATCTTGCTCAGGTGATTGTAACCCCTCTGTACAGTATTTTCACAATAAAAAAACTTATTTAAAAAAAAAGAAGAGAAAACAAGCAGTAAATATTTCTATATGGTTTTCTTAATGCATATCTAGTTGCCTAAACAAACTGAGCTTAGAAATTCTTTCTTTTGTGATTAACCCTTTAATTATTAGTGAGTATCCTTCATGTGTGGAAACGGTGCCGATACCAATTCTGGAGAGAGGGCTAATTGAGAGTCCCATCCAGTAATGGCAGAGGACTTATAAATAACAATAGCTCTGTGTTCTTTCTATAAGCATGAGAATACAAGTCAGGGATTTGGATTTGGGTCCAACGCACTGTTTGACCTTGGGCAAACATTGACTGCATTCTTTTCCTTAGTTTCATCCTTACATGAGGACAATACTATCTGCCTTCTCTAAGTTGCACAATAAGGCTGCTTAGAAAATCGCAGGCCCTGTCCTTTGGAACATTCCTATTTAGAAGCAGAATGCAGACACCTCCCTTTCCAAGTCAGATGTATTCATGGAGATCTCAGCTCACAACGAAATATTTTAAGACACAATCTAATTGTTTATTCACAGTTGTCTGTCTCTCTTTAGCCCTGACAGACATGTCTGAAGAAGCAAGTACACATGAGGAGCAGCACAGGTTACTCACAGGCATCACTGATCAACAGAGAGAAAATGACATAAAAACAAGAAAAATGTACAGGAGGCCTTCACAGACATTATGTTAGAAAATGCAGGCAGGAGTCCTTGGCATTCTCTTTGAGAATTTAATAAGATGATGCCTCTCGAATAGTTCTAAATCATGAGGGATTAGGGCAAGAGTATAAACTTGTAAATGTCTCCTTAGTAAAAGTGTCAGTTTCACAGTTATCTCTTACTTTTGGTTGCAATCAGAAGAGGATGATCACTTAACTGGCCTTATATAAAATCAACAAAATAGGAGGCTTGTTTTTACTTGTTTTATGGATTTTTTGAAAGAGGAATTAAACAAAGTAGGCTCATATGATTCAAAGGATTGAACTTGTTATTTGTTTTCTTGCTCATCTTTTCTTTTAATATCTCTTAAAAGTATGTCTATTTATCTTGCCAGCATACTGATGAGTGGCCTCTACTATGTAGAAGGAGTACTCCAGCCTGGGCTTAAGTATTTGGTCCTGTTTTGTCCTCATTAATGCTAATATGATTTACTGTTGCTATGTGGACTTAGCCCTTATATTTAGCCAACAGGAAATGATACAGCTGTGCAATTGCTGAACGAGAAGTCACTGCCCAATTGATCATCTCTTTCTCTGCTTATATTTCAACAAACAATTTGTCACATTCTCTAGAGACCCAGACCAGATTTTTTTCTGTGTTTTATATGGCACACTTAATGTTTCTAACTTCCGCTCACAAATTTCAGTATCTGACTGCTGATTTCATTTGTTTGTATTTTAATATTTCTGAGGAAAAGACAATGAACAATTAATTATTACAAAGTTATCAAACTGATTACTTAATATACTATACTAAATATAATTATATTCTATATCAACTTATACTTTATATCAACTGGTTAATGTAATATGAAAAAATGGGGAATTTCTCTAAGAAAAAATTTAACGAGTGAGTTATAGTTTGTTTTCTACCACTTTGAGCCACAGTGCCAATTCCAGTTTTCTGGTGGT